TTCTCCATATTTTTTATCCAAACAACGAATTTTAATCAGAGTCATTTTCAGAAAAGCAATTTTGCCGCTTCTGTCATTTTCTCAACTCGGATTTTCTCAACTCGGATTTTCTCATTATGGAAGATCTTATCATTCCTTGGCTTCCAAATGCTTCACACTCACATATGGAACTCCACGCACTTGCAAAAAATGATGAACATTTGAAAAATAGGTGAGAAACTGACTCATTGCTCTCGTACTCTCCGACCCACCTAATTGATCTCCCAATCTTACACCTCTTTATTGCCAGATTATCTTTAATATTGTTTATCTAACAAAAAAATTATGTCAATACAGAAATAGAAGGCAAGCGGGCAACAAGCTGCGCCGCTATTTCTTTTTGGATCGCAAAACTAATCCTCTTAAAAACTACATCCATAGACCTAGGACATACAACATTGCTATTCATAAGCCTTTGAACACTCTGTAAAAGATCAACTACTTCTGGTGCTAGGAAACCAAAAGTGTCAAAGGCAAATGGTATAAAAATATGTTGATTTTCAGAACACGCTTTTTGATGTTTGACCACTTTACTGGAAGCAGCTTTGAGAACTGTTTGTCCCACAATAAAACCACCATCCTTCAAATCCACCAGTGGAGAAACTCCCGTCAAGACCACACAAGCATGTTTCCCTTCTATCCACCCATACACCAAAACATTTGATGACCTAAGTGTCGGTCTCCTCTCAACTGGGTCAGTCAAAAAATTCACAGGTCCCTCTTTCTTCACAGATATTCTGACACATCAGAATATATTAAACAAGACATCCTTAATAAGGTCATATCGGTATTTGAAACCTGGAAGCTCCCTATAATGAATCACGTGTTTCCCAAATGTATCCAAACGTGAACAAACAGGGCAAACCTCATCAATATGAAATAAGAATCATAAGGTGGTATCTTAGGATAGTACGATACTTCACCCGTGACATATGTTAGCCTAACCCATCAAGAGAAATAACAAGGAGAAAGTTATGAGCATGTGCGTCTTGCAAACAATCAAAAATTGCCTTCTGCCTTATGGTCATGTCAAACTTCACATTCATGTCCTTAACAATTTTATAAAAAAGGACACTCGCCAAAATATGTTGTACTTTAGGAGGGACGGTGTCCTTACTAGTAAAATTGCTAAGGTTAAAATATGGAATTGCAACACAAAGACCATTTAAAGCTATGTCAAATCTGAGTCCATATCATACACTCCACTGTATCTCAATATATGATCCTGAAACACCCAAGATTGGGCCCTAGAAGCCAGAAAGGCGTATGAGGAAGCCTTTACAGCCGAGTATAAACCCAAATCCCAACTCTAATGGGTAATGAAATCACTCTCCATTGAAGGTCCCCGAAGAAAGGACCTTCACCAACCACGATGTCTTTAAATGCCTTCTGCAACTCTTTATTAAACTAAACATATGCTTCCTCCATATGAGTAAGTTGAGATGTTCTTAGGCCAAAAAATAATTTGGCAATACCCATGCAGGATCGAAGTAGAAGAAGTTCACTATGAGGATCCCTTAGTTGTGGTAGAAGGTGCATTAAATCAATAGCCTTAAGAGCTCTCTTCTTAGACAACTCCTTAATGAAATCGTTATCCCGACTAACAACCCCTCCAAGCAACTTCATCCCTAACAACAACCTCCTAATTTCTGACGGGAATAGATCCTCACGAAGTTTACTACAATCGCATGAAGGCCAAAAGATCTCAGTCTTACGAATATTCAATTCAAGACCTAATCTTGGATATGTGTTCCAAATGATATCAAGGGCTTTAGCCATCTCCGATGAATCCCCTATAATAGTCCCATCATAAAAATACTAGACATGAAGAAAAAGCTTACAATTGTCCCTAACTTGATGAATGAGTGGGTGTAACACAAGAGGAAAAAGGAGCGATCCTAACGGGTCACCTTGTTGCACTCCAACAGTTGACATAATATGTCCATCCCAAAGGTATAACCTTGCTTCCTGACCCTAAATAAACTCAACCCGCAAAGAAATAAAATGGGAATTTCACCCCCACCCCGCGCAATAAGGCGGATCGATCTACCATGTTGAAAGCATTTGAGAAATCTACAATGAGCATAGCCAAGGAACCATCTTCGTGTTGCTTTCTTAACACCCTGTTGACACTATGCAAAATGGCCTTAGCACCACCTGATACCCCAACCCCAAAATAAAATTCATTGAGGTATAGCTCCATATATTTACTGACCTCTTTCATAACAACCTTGGATACCAACCGCCTCCAAATAGAATCCATAATAATTAGTCGTATCCCACCATTAGACTTTAGTAACGGTGTCAATGGTGCAGAAGCAACATACTCCGTCAAACTCATGAGACATCTCCCTCCTAGCCATAAGTTAACAACTAGAGTGATTGTGTATAAAAGATTTTTCGCCACAGTAGAACCTTCTCCATACAGTGCATCTAAAATATGTTGAGCATGTAAACCATCTCTACCACATGACATCCCCTTGGGAAAATATTTAATACACTTGAAGATAGTATCTGCATCGGTCACTAGGGGAGATTTTAAGAATAAGGTGGTCGGCATGAAGGGAAGTAATATGTATGGGTGTTTAGCCTCCAAAGCCTTCATTGTATGTTCATTATAGGAGATCACACCGGATGACCCTAACACTTTTACAATCGCTATGAAATGTCCATCTGCAACCTTGAAGAGGCGTTGCTTGACATTAGAGCTCATCTTCTTATCTTTCTCCTCAATATGAACACCCCCACGACCCGAGTTCCCTTGACAAGACCACCTGAGTCTCTCCAAGTATCTAAACACTCTAAAATGTTGTGTTGCTGCAAGGACTTCCGATTTCCATACATGTGATCCCTCCTATTCTGAGGCTTAACCACCTGTAATGTATAACGAGGGAGAAGTTGTGGATTTATTTCTATTTTAGATGTTTTGCATGATGTCAAAACTAGGAGTTGATTTAGCTTTTCAGTATATTGAATGGTATCTCTGAGTATTTGTGTGCTTCCTTGCATTAGAAGTCATTAGGAACCCAAAGAAACATATATAACAAGTTTGGTTTGGTTATCCATTGATCTCGTAAAAGAAAAATAAGTTCCTGCATAAAATTCATGTCTATGTCTCAACACATTCGTGCTTCGAGTCGACACATGTGTTGTTGTTTTAAGTAAATAATTCTCTGGAAATTTTTGTCGACTCATCCTCCTGTTTGTGTCGACACGTGTCTTTAAAACGGCTCTATGTGTCGACACATTTGTGTTTCGTGTCGACTCATGTACTGTTGTTTTTAAGCTTGAAAATCTCTATAAATTTGTGTCGACTCATAACCTGTTACAGGTCGACACATGTGCCTTATTTTGTCATGTATGTGTCGACACATCACTTGTTCGCGTCGACACATCTTGTACCAAACTTCAAAAATCATTTTTTCTTTTGTGTTCCTAGGTCTTTCTTTTGCCTCCAAGTCTCACACCTATATATATATATATATATATATATATATATATATATATATATATATATATATATATATATATATATATATATATATATATATATATATATATATATATATATATATATATATATATATATATATATATATATATATATATATCATACATGCATCATTTTCATTTCGATGAAACTATAAACACTTATTTGATTGCTCTTCATCTTCGATCTTGACCCTATGCATACACATAAACAACGTACACATAATCATTCATTGTTTGGATACCATCTAGACTCGGTTGATAACATTCAATTTAAGTTGGTTGTAACCTAAGATTGGATTGAGAATCAAGGGGGTTTCATCCGGAAAAAATTCGAGAATGTTTACCTCAAGATCATGAAGAGATTTGAGGGTTTTTAACAAGATTGTGCCGATATTGGATTCAACCGAGTGAAGACCTTGAAGAACGGGGTGGTTCTTGCAAGCCTAGTAGCGTGAGACGGTGAATCATCGGGTAATCTTGGGTGACAACAAGCTTGCAATTGGATTCAGCCGAGTGAACATTGAAGAAGGGGTTTCCTTCAAGATAGTAGGGCAAGACGGTGGATCAAGTGGAGTTGTTGGGGGCTTGATCTAACTCCTTCAAGCTAAAGGGAGTTTTGTTGGATCATTATCAATCATTGGTGTTATAGAGGTGCATTGTAACATTTCTCTTGTAAACATACTTTTGCAATTAGTAAGAAATTGGTCTCAATTCCAAAATGGGATTGGGGGGAGACGTAGCCATAATGAGAATGATTGACGAACATCCTTAACAAATCCTCATAGGGTTCTCTCTCTCTCTCTCTCTCTCTCTCACTCTTTATCTCACTTTATTTGTTTTACATTTTGTTAGCAATTTATTACACTCTTGATTGTGCAAATTGATTAGAATAAAGGTTTTCTTTGAAAGTTTAAATCAATTTGTTGTTTTTATTACAATCACTTTGATTGTAAGAGGTTTTAACATCAACAAAATTCAAAGGAATTTATGGAAAATTAAAGTGCACACTAGGTGTTCGATAAATTGTCTAAGTAACTTTTTACCATTGATTTCATTGGAAATAGGCTGCTTAATTATTCAAATTATTGAGATTGAGAGTTTTATGTGTTGCTCACTTATCATCTTTACTTAACTTGAATTCATTGGACGCATACCCGAGTTCTAATAATCATGTGCGTTTAAACAACATTGATCGGAGGACACGATTCCCGCTAACCATTATTTTTAATGTGATTTAAAAACTGTTTTAAATTTAAACTTGAATTAGGTATCTATTCACCCCTTCTAGATAACTTACCATCGTCTAACAGAAGTAACAACTGAACCCATGCACCTACTGACCCCGAATCAGAAATCACCTTGTAAAGAGCATCTTTCAATGTTTGAGAGAAAGAAAGACAACATCTTAGAGGTGTACTCTTCACAGTGAAGATAGGTGTGGTAAGAACTCTCTCTAACAACCTTGCATCCTAAACAAGCTCCTCGTTTGCTTCGAGGTTATCTGAGTCAGTTATGGACGGTTTAACAATACCCACAATGTGACTTCTGACCCCTCTAGTCCTATGAGTGACACAAACAAGACCATCAGGGTGATGACATCCCTGACTCATGGAATGTATGCTCATACAACTTCCATATAACCATTGTTCAACCACCCTCAAAGACTCTTCAAATACCGTAAATAAATTATAATCATTCCCAATAGCATTTTGTATGACATTTTCCGTTCGTCACTACATAGGTTTAGCATCTTAAGATGAGATACACAAATGAGAAATACCTTTTCTTCCATCTCTACCATCGGGGTAACAATGGAATCCTCGAAATAGACAATGTAAATCTCCTATTTGAGTATAAACCATTAGACAATACAAAATTGTGCTTCTCCTCTAGTCAATACAAAATATGTCTAGGGTGGGAATTTTATAAAACACGTGGCGGGCAGCAGCGAAAGAGCATTTCGGCATGGTTGTCTTGTTGTCTTGCTCTACCTCATTGAACCATAAAGTCCAACTTCTAAAATGTTTCTCTTAAAAACCAATGGAATGTTGTTTCAAACAAATGGGAAAAGAGGTTTTGTCTTTAATTGGAATTCTATTTTGAAGCATTCTCCACACCAAACACGAGATTTTTAAAGAAATTGTATTATTCCAATGCTTTGGCCAAGAATAGTTAGAAAGACTTTGCATATCCACCATTAACACTTGCCATGCTTTCCTAGGTTATAGGGATAATGGTCATCATGGCAGCGTGTAACGGATGACTGATGGTGACATATTGGAAAAAGTGTAATGATGGCTCTGATGTCAGTAGTAGTTGGTGGAAGACAAAAAGTTCATTACGAACTTGTGTAACCAAGAAGTGGACAAGTGTCGAATAGAAATATCAAAGAATGGATATTCCTCCTTGTGTTGAAATTGACATTCTTGGGGGGCAATTTCTTAGCTCCTAAATTCGACACTCACACATATTGGCCTTATTGGCTAAAAATATATTAAAGAAATCTAAGCTGAAGACACTTTGACATGAGAGCCTATGAAAGGAGTTGTGTCGAAGTCATCCTTGTTAAGAAGGAGAAAACACTTAGAGAATTTTCTAAAAGTTAAAGGCAGTCTTCGACCGATTGTATCAACAACAAGTGGATTTGAATTTAAAGAAAGGAAGGAAAGGCAGTTCACTTGGCAGTTAGGAAAAGCAACATGGCGTGAAGATAGAGGTCGAAGAACATGCAGAGGACACTTGTCCTCATCTTGGGACGAAGCAATCGTTCGACAGTTACTTATTACCAGTACAAATATAAGAAATTTGTATAGAATTTGTGGTTTAACTCATTGTACAAGTCACTCAATTTTATTCAAGTACCCACAGTGAGAGAAAGAATATTTGAGAATGTACGTTTGAATCACCATTGCAATCAAAGTCTTTTACATTTCTTTACAATTCTTGCCATTTAACATTTCACTGCAAACTTTACCATTACAACCCTTCTAAATTACTGCAGATTTACTTTATTCTTTACTTGCGTTTTTATCAAGTTTTTTTACCTTCATCCTACTTTTACTCTTAGTATCTTGTCAAACCTGTTCATTTAAACCTATTCAAACCCAAAAATACTTAACATATGTCCTAGGATCAAACTGATCGATCCAGAAGTAACCAAAATAACCCTTTTGGAAGATCAGCGGTTGTTTACAAATTTTCACGGTAAACAAATTGTTACCAACTTCATACCACATACAATTACATAAAACTCTTGTCGAAGATTAATATAACATGCATAAAGAGTAATGATCAATTTATTGCTTTACTTTGTCTCCACTTAGTCTTGGAGTCACCTATAGAGTAATGATCAAAAGTCGTATTTGAAAGCAAGAGTATAGAATAATGAGAATTTAATCGAAAAAAGTTAAACCACGTGAGAATATTTGAAAGGATATATTAACATTATTACAGAGAACCTTGAAATAATAGGCATATTAACATTCTTACAGCCTCAACCTGATTTCTCTTAAGGCTATAGGGAACTTGGTCATAACAGGGCCTGAAGTGAAGTTAGAGTTTCAAACAGAAATTGTTTCACTTTTGTTGAAATTTTAAGAGAAAGGAGAGCATCATTATAATCAAATCATAAAGTTATATAGTAAGTATATATATTTCATATTATAAAGAAAAACTGCAAATAAATTTTCTCAAAAAAATTGTCTTCATAAGAATTAAAATTGTTTTCATTTCCCTTGATAAGTATTATCAACTATGTGCAAGAACATAAGAAGTTCGCCCATGTGGCAGAACATAAAACTTTTCATAAACCATCTTAAACATAATGTTAAGTAAAAAGGCATACCTTTAAAATCTACATTGATGGGGTTATTGTGACCCCCACCAAAAGTTTCTAGAGCATTTGCAAATGCAATATCTCTATCATATGCCTCTCCAAGTCCTTCCTTGAAAAGTACAAAAGTGACACCAAATAGGTCTTAAAATATATAACATCTTCTAAATCAATATTTGATATACAATGATTAGTTGTGAGAAATTTTGATTGATAATATCATAGTAATGATATAATTTAAATAACTATAAACGTGTATGACCATGGTTATTTTAAAAATTGATTTTTGTTTAATTTGTTTAACTCAAGTACAAAGACATATGGAGGTCAAGACTGAACTGCTATGCAATGAATTAAAACCACTAACTTTGAAATGGAGGCTAAGAATCCGATTTTTCCAGTGACGTCTCAGGTTCATATTCTTGTCAAGAGGTTCATATTCTTCACTTTTATTTAGGGATGGCAAGCAGACCCAAACCCGCGGGCCCCACCCGCACCCGCACCCGAGTCAACGGGTGAAACCCAAATTGACTGGGTTTAGGTTCGGGTTCGGGTGCCACCCGATATTTCGGGTGTGGGTTTGGGATAGCTTAAACCCGCACCCGAAACCCGAAACCACACCCGCTTATATATTAAATTACAAAACTATCCCTAAATATATATATATTTCAATAATTAAAAATAAAATGTAGGGTTTATATCACATCTTGAGAGAGAAAAAAAACCAGAACAAAATTTCTCCTTCATCCTCCTCGCGACTCTCAATCTCCAGCTAGCCACTCAATCTCCCTGCTACCTACCACCAGCCGCTGGAACACGTCCTTTCTCCGCTCCGCCTTACCTTCTATTACTTCTCCTTCAGCTTCATTAGTCCGCTTCACCGCATTTCCTCCTCCTTCTCCGCCAAAACTCCGGATTTCCAAAGTCAAATCCAAACCCCTACTTCCTCCATTCACCGGACTTCGTACTCTCCCTCTCTTCGGTCCTGCTTCCTCAGGTAGAATTGCAACTTCTACTTTTTCGAAATTGAAATTCTATTATCATTTGTGTGAATGTTCATACGTTCAACACTTTTTGTTTGATCCTGTGACTGATTGATGAAAACGGAATCTGTTGATTAACAATTGCCTGCTGTTACTGTATTCTATGTTTCTGTTGTGTTTTGGTTCTCCGTTAGCTCTATGCGTAGAAATCTTCTGCAATGTTTCCAATAGTCTAGAGTGGTTTCTGAGTGTTAGGAGGTGTCTTAGAGTCTTGCATGGCCACATCTACTAGAAATATGATTTACTTAGCGTGTGTTTGTTTCCGCGTCCAATACGTTTGGCCAAAGCTCCAAATTGGAGCTTATATATTTTCAGGTTTTTTGTGCCTTGGAACGCGAGAAACATTGTCCAAATGAAATGAGTTACCAAACATACTATTAGTACTTATAAAGCTTGAGTAGTCATTGATAAAATACACAAGATTAGGAAGAGGTTTTCTGGAAGGACAATTTTGTATTCCTAGAAGAAATTCAGGTAGAGTTGAGAGTTCCTGTCATCTTGCTTCTTGATAAATCGATAATATTCAAGTTGCAGAGTTGACCAATGGAACTAGGAATACCACCCTCAATAGCATTATCATGAAGATCCAAGTAAATAAGATAGGTCAAGTTTCCAATGGATGAAGGAAGTCTCCCGTGTAATTTATTAATCGATAAATCAAGTACTTGTATCCTTTCCCATCCTTTCATCAAGAGTTGAGAACAGCTTGCTTTGAGATTTTCATTGTTCCCTAAATTCAAATACTGCAAGTTTGGTAGCAAAGCCAGCAAAGCCAGCCTTTGACAGGTTCAGATATTATCAAATGCATCAGATATTGCAAATGCCTTCGACTGCAACGACAGCACCTGTAACGTTGTCACAGCGTATTCCTTGCCATTGACAACAGTTGGTGTTTCTCCATGAAGAGAGGCGGTTGTGAGAATACTGAAGCCCATTTTTGAAGTCTAGAAGAGCTTCTTGATCAGAAGCTAAGCATTCAATAGCGACAACATTTCTATTAACATAATTCAGAAACAAGAAACCATAATAAACCAGTAATATTAACATCTTTTGTATTGAACTTGTTCTCATACTCTTGCTATAAACCAATCATTATTTATATATCTACCCAATGTTTTAGGTAGGTGAAATCCTACATACCTAGTCTTTTGGGGAATAGTTTATCACAGGAAACTTGACTTTTCCATGGACGGGGTCACAATCAAAATTCATAGAAGGAATTGTGTTTTTTTTTTCTTTCTATCTCTAAAGGTAGAGAGAGAGAGAGGGAGTGTCTGTGGGGTTAGCTATTAGCTAGCTAATATGTCCTTTGCATTGATGATGAAAATTCAGAGACTTGTATTTCAAGTTATTATTATTAGAATGAGAATATGTTTTATGTACTACTAGTACTTTGTTGCTTTTCATCTATTTTACTTGCTACTGTTATTTGAGATTTCTTAGAAGGGACTAATCAATTTGGAGTGCTATGTGAGTCTTACAATTTTGTCCTTACAAAGCACCTATTCGATGCTAATAAATTACTCAAAGCTCAACTCACAGCAATGCATCAATTATGATAAATCTTAGGCCTCCTTCTAGAACCATTTACAAGCAATGCATGAACTATGATAACTCTTACGCCTCCTTCTAGCACCATTTACAAACAATATATAAACTATGTATATAACTCTTAGGCCACTTTCTAACACCATTTCTAATATTTAGGCCGACAGAACTGTTGATTGTGTTTCAGGAGCAGCCTGCCAGCCTGATACTCCAACAAGTGACATTTCGGTAAGGTTTATGAAGAATCTCTTTATATTTATCTTATGCATGAATGTACATATCTTTTAATGTTGCTTTGCATGGTATATTTGACATATTAAATTCATTATATGACTAATTGGTTGAGATAGAATAGAATGGAGTTTATGTTATTAAAGTTCTTCAGACATTGTAACACCAAACACACACACAGACATTGTAATATATCTAACAGTACCTGTCCTGTTACTGTATACAGTCTGTTATACCAGCCATTAGTTAACATCCCAATAGCTGGTTTTTTACATGGTAGTTCACACACAATATTTTATTGTATTTTAGTAAATCTGTATTATCATTTATTTTCTTAACAGATTATTATGAGCCATATTGTGAAATTGATTCCGATTGTCTTCAAGTGTGGAATGCATACTATATTTTTAAGTGCATTAATGAAAGATGTAAATGGGTTAAAAGAGACTTGTGAGATTACCCATTACACAAAGAGAATAAGTTAGTGTGAGAAGAACAAAATTGTGTAACATACCTTATGATAGACTATTCTTTGAACTACCAATTAGTTGAGAAATCTTTTTCTAATTTCATGAACCTTAAATTCATGATTTTTATACTCTAAGATTATAGTAAGACAATAAATAGTATTAAATAGATTGCATTGTTCCCTCTTAGTTTTGGAGGTATCACCATGACATTCAATTCAGATACATCACTTCTTAGTACCAAACCTATTAATTTTTATCTTACTTTAAAACCTATAATTTTATTTTAATATCATAATAAAGCTACATATTTATCATTTTTAAACACTTCAATTTATATTTCTCTTATCTTTTAATTAGATTTAATAACCTCAGATGTCTTGTTGATTTTAAGAAGATTTGGAAAACTACAACGTCATTAATATTTTATATTTTAGCTATGGCAATATTAGTAAGATTGGTGTAGGTCTCTATGCCTTAAGCTTAATTAAGATTACTTCCGTGATAGAATAGTGTGTTCAATATATTACGTCATAATATAGAGACGTGATTTAAAAGGAGCATATATTAGTAGGTATTAAAGAATCTTAATAAAAATTAGAGTAAAATAAAATCTCAATGACGAAACACAATTTTAAGCTAATGCAAATGTAAAAAATCATTCAAATGGTAATATTCTTATTTAAATCATTTATGTTGGAGACTATGTTAAGATAATTGTGATTGCATTTTCTTGAAGACAATGTAAAGAGACCTTATTTTAATTGTAATTTTTTTTTTGATTTTTGGTGCGGGTTTGGATTTGGGTGAAAAAACCCGAACCCAACGGATGCGGGCGCGGGTGTGATTTTGTCACCCGAATACCCTTCGGATTCAGGTTTGGGTGAAAAAACCCGAACCCAACGGGTGCGGGCGCGGGTGTGATTTTGTCACCCGAATAGCCTTCGGGTTCGGGTTCGGGTTCGGGTGATGATTTCGGGTGCGGGTGCGGGTAGTGTGAAACCCGCACCCGACCCGACCCGTTGCCATCCCTAAATGAAATGCTGTATTGTTTCGCATTGAACGCGGATTATAGATAGATTCAGCAGCGTGTGTACATGAAAAATGTAATGTTTATTCCTGTGGACAGTTGTAATTTGTTATATTAAGAAATCATATTTTAAGACTTATATTTTAAATATCTGGTTTTAATCAACTTATATGTTCTTTGTTTATTCTATGGTGATTGAGAGGAAACTCTTCAAAGGTGTAGTGTATGGAAAGTATCACAATATAGATGGCTTCTTTTAAGTTTAGGAAGCTTAAAAAATATGGTGAATAAACAATCATTTTGACCGTGTTTTGCCCAGCTGTCAACAGAACGTAAGTGATTACGCAAGTTGAGAATTGAAGATTATTTATTGATCGTATATTTTCCTCTCTAAAGATTATGTTGCTTTCAGTCATCACCTCAATAATAAATAAGCACTAAACCCAGAAAGTCTTATCATAAAATCTTAATCTAATGAACATTTTAGTTGATGGTTTTATATAAATCCGAAAACAGAGAAAATGAGGCCCATGTTGTGAAGAAATTATATTACATTACAGAAGAAAAATGCCAGGTCCTGGATGCTGCTCAAACGCACCAATCCTCAACCCAAACTGAGGTGGCGGTCTAAACACCTATGTCACTGGTCAACTTATTCTGCAGGATTTGAAGCTCCGAATCTAAGGCATGGATGATTTTAATGTCTATGCTCTTTTGTTCCCGATTTTTTACGCGGAGATCCTTTTACTTCTGAGAATGCTAGCAGACCTCTACCTGTTTGGTTGAAAGATCATCAACCTGTAAGTTCTTTTATTTCAAAGATTACATATTCTTTGTGAACATATAATTTGTATGCTTGCTTAGAATTTGAAACTTTAAAGTGCAAAGGTTCTGTTAACAGAATGAAGCTTTTGAAGATGCAAAACCAGTAATTGAGGCTTTAAAATGCCTTGTCTATAGGAGCTGCCTCTTTTTGTTGGGGTGGTGAGTTCCCAATTCCTACTTAACTTCGTTCTACTTCAAAATTTACAATCATCAGATAGATAAATGAACTTACAATTATAAATGTTTATTGCTTAATTACTGAAGTGATTGATTGGTGCTGATATTTCATTTCCCTTTGACTTATTAGCCAAGACTGTGGTAGAACTTGCCAAGTCTAAATTAATCCAAGCTGCTGTTCTACTACACCCATCATTTATCATCTTGGATGACATCAAGGGTACGAAGTTATACATGCAAATGTAATGTGATGATTGCCATTTCTTAAGCCATTCATGAAGTTAGAAATCTTTTGTTTATGTATCCTCAAAATCATAAATGTTTCGCAAAATGTCGCAGCATAAATAGTCCACCAGTCGATATCATATCCTTTTTCGTGCGCTTGATTTTGGTTATGTCCATTCACAAAATAATGTGTCAGGGGGGAAATATTTGTTAGTTCACTGCTTATCAATTCTGAAAGACCATGATGGTAGAGTTCTTACACTGCTAAGTAATATGTGCATGTTGAATATGGCTCATAATCACAGAAGGGGGTCAGGGGCTGTGGGAGCAGAGTTAGCAGCGCACCGAGGCTGTACCGTTTAGCAGTATACTTGTAATATTTATAAATATGACTTGTAATATTGAAACCCTACTTCATTCAAATAATAAGATGGAACTACAACCTGTAGTCAGGGAGCGTATAACTTACAAGTCATTTGTAAAAGCGAAGCAATTTGTAAAAGTTAAAAATCAAGAAAACATAGCAGTAGAATAGTAAGAAACCAGCTTAACCAGATATTGGTCGGCGCTACAACAATGGAGGGAGCTTGGTGCGACAACCATGGTAGAAGGAGGTGTGAGAGTAGGGGATGAAGAAGAATGCGGGTCACTACCTTTTGTGTTTTTACTGATGTTTGACTCTAAGTTTTTTTAATTATAAAGTAGAACACATGCCAGAATTTGATTCACATGATTAATCAAACATAAGTTGTCTCAAACATAGTAAAGTCACTAAATCTGTATTCTGTATAAAATGTTGGGTTATCCCTCTTATTTGGAGTGGGCCTAAATGATGTGGGTTAGTGGTTCATATGTGTAAGTTTTTGTTATTATCCAACAAAGAGGAATAGGGTTTTAGTGTGAAAAACAACAAGTGAAAAAGTAGAGAGAAGAGTGAAATCCTGCAGTCCTATTTCAACACAGTTTTACTAAATCAGAGCTTGCGCAAAATCCAACAGTCGGATCGTTCTGAAATTTTGACACAACGTTCATGAATCATAGGAGCACATTCTAAGCTATTTTCATTGGATTCAGAGTTTTCTATGTCGGTCTGTCGAATCCATCTTTGAGGTCAGGATTTCTTGATGTTTTTGGGTTGTTTTGTCTCTCTTGATAATTGTTGATTCTAAGATAGATTTCAAATCTTGATGATGTTTATGTATGCCTCTAACTAGTGTTAGAGAGAACCTTGCTTGTATTCATTGTTGATTATAGTGGAGGATTTAAGTGGCCTACGGGTGCCGTGATTTTTTACTCCTAGTTAACCAAGGTTTTCTACGATAAAATTGTGTTGTGTTGTTTGGTGTGTTTTTGTTAATTGTCTCTAAGTTCTATTTGATATTTGGGAGAGATTGTCTTGTTGAATTATTCAATTGCGTTTGTAATTTTCTCCCAACAAGTGGTATCTATAGTCGTGGTTTGATTTGTGTAACGAAGGAGACAAACAAATCTAGGATGGTGAGCTTGAATGGTTCAAGTTATAATATTTGGAAAGGAAAAATAGAAGATTTGCTTTATGAGAAAGTTTTTCACTTGTCGGTTTTCTCTAATGAAAAACTCCATGGAATAAGTGATGAAGAAAGGACTTTGTTGCATAGACAAATTTGTAGTTATATTCGTCAAGGGATGAATGATATTGTTTTGAATCATGTGAGCTTGGTGTCTCATGCTCGCTCTCTTTGGACCAAACTTGAGGAGTTGTATTCAAGAAAGACGGGGAACAATAAGTTGTTCTTGTTCAAGCAATTGATGTCATTGAGATATAATGATGGCTCACCAATGACTGATTACTTGAATACTTTTCAAGCGATTCTAAATCAATTGTCGAAAATGAATCTCACTTTTGATGATGAAATTTAAGGTTTGTGATTTCTTGGTATTTTACCTAATTCTTGGGAGACTTTTAGAACATTCTTGTCTAATTCCGCTTCGAATGGTATAATCTCAATGGACTTGGTTAAAAGTAGTGTTTTGAGTGAGGAGTTGAGGCGTAAGTCACAATGTTCTTCTTTATATTCCGAGGTGTTAATTATCGAATCAAGGGGGAGACATCAAAGTAGAGGTTCAAGTAATCGTAAAATTTTACGTGATAAATCACAAGGAGGTTCAATAAATTCTCTCATATTGAATGTCATCATTGTGGAGAAAGGGGACATAAAGAGGTGTTTTTCTAAGTTGAAAAGGGAAAACAAGAAGAAGAGCTACAAAAATGACAAAAAGGAAGGTAACAATAATAAAGATGTTACTATTGTTGACGATTTCTTTATTTTTTATAATAGTTGTGTTGAGAATGTCAATCTATCATGTGATGAGATGGATTGAGTGATTGATATTGATGCTTCTACTCATGCAATCTTGATACGTGGTCTTTTTTCTACTTACGAGATCAGTGACTTTGGGATTGTTGTATGGAAAATAATGGGCAAGCTAATGTCATCGGAATGAGAGATATATGTGTCGAAACTAGTAATGGGACAACTCTAGTTCTAAAAGGTGTGAAACACATTCCGAAATTTCGATTCAATCTTTTATCCGTTGGAAAGTTGGATAATGAAGGATATTATAATTCTTTTTCGGGCAATGGATGAAATTTAAAGAGAGGCTCAATGGTAGTTGCTAAAGAAAAAAGGAATTTGAACTTGTATGTCGTCCAACTTGGGGTTTATAAGTTCTACATCAACACTTGTGATAATGATAACTCATCTAAATTATGGCACAAGCGTTTGGATCATATGAGTGAAAAAGATTTGAGCGTTTTTCCAGAGAAGAATGTGTTGTATGGTGTTTCTGATGCAAAATTGAGAATGTGTTCGCATTGTTTAATGGGTAAGCAAAAGTGAATTTCCTTTATGTCATCTGAACTAAAGAGGAAATTGAAAGTGTTGGATTTAGTATATTTCGATGTGTGGTCCGATGAAGACACAGTCATTTGGTGATGCATATTAATTTATGACTTTCATTAATGATTGTTCTCGAAAAACACGAGCTTATACCTTGAATACGAAAGATTAAGTGTTAGATACCTTCAAGTCGTTTCAAACATCGATTAAAATAAAATGGGGAAAAAGCTCAAGTGTATATGAACCGATAACGGGGGAGATTATGTTGGACCTTTCGACAAGTATTGTCAAGATTAAGGTATACGTCATCAAAAGTCTCCTCCAGAGACACCACAACTGAATGGGTTAGCCGAAAGAATGAATAGAACTTTGGTGGGAAGGGTGAGATGTTTACTTTCTCAATCAAAGTTTTCCAAATACTTTTGGGGAGAAGCATTGAGCACAGTTGTACATCTTTTAAACCTCATTCCACGTGTTCCATTAAAATTTATTGTTCCAAATCATCTTTGGAGTGGTAAAGATGTTTCCTACGACCATTGATGGGTAAATTCCGCAAGTGCACGGAAATATAGAAGTAATATAAAAGATTGTCGAACCACAGAGACCAATGTCAACCTACTGCAATCTATCGCTACTTTGTAAAGCTAAGGATAATGAATAATTGGATTTTTGGGGGAAATTAAAGTAGAGGAAAACTAAATCGAACTAAGGGAATAATAATAATAATAAAACGGTCGGTATGTAATATAGTGAACCTAAGTGGATTTAATCGAACCTAAGCATATAAAGATGTTTAACTTAGATGGTTCTGTAGAAATTATCAGTTTAAAAACCCTCAACTCACACTTTTGTGGTCTTATCTTGGATTATACCCTTAAAGCCCTATGTCTGCTCTCGCTAGCCCATAAGTGTTTAGAAAATAC